GTTTTGAAGCAAGCTGGCAGACAGGTTCTGCTGCAGGAGGGCCTGGTGGGCCGCATCCTAATTTGCGATCTTCGCTTGCATTAGCCGCTTTTGAATCGTCTCAGACTCAGTACAGTACGCTAGGCCTCCTTCGGCAGCTTTTGGATTGCAATTGGGCACAGCGGGGCCTTGACATTGACATAGCTTGTAGATTAGAACACCATTCAGTTAAAAACGAGCCCTAGATCATGAAGTATCCGGGGCTGTGTCTCGGCGACACGAGGACTTAGATGTTCACCAGGGTGACGGCACAGCAGAGATCCTTGGCGAGGATGCACCAGCCTTCACCTTGTCCGTACACTGCAAGGACACAGAATGCGGTTCTCAGAGCTGTGCCTCCACTGCTTTACGAGTTATCAGCCAGTGAGGCAGCATGTTAAAGCCTCAGGGGTCTGTAGCCTTGGCAGATCAAGTACACTTCCCCACCCAGGCGACCAAGGTCACGGTAGCGGACGTGCGGACGATCAGTGAAGCAAGACCCCTGTGAACCGAAAAATCTTGTGCGAGAGGACAATTTTCCTTTCGGCTTCAAGGGCATGACCCATCTGGGAAAGGACAAGAGCGACCTGGATGTCGGACTGGCGACTTCTGGCAGCTACAGAACTGCCATAAGTGCCCGCCGAAGCCCGAAATCTCAAAGCCCAGGCTCATTTCGGAGGTCTTTGAAGCAGGCAGGGATTTTCCCCGAAAGACAGACTGCAAGTGTTCATTCCCGCCGAGGAAAGGAACCAACGATGAAGTTTTCCTCTCGACGGTATCCGAGAGCCTGCTGCTTGCTTGCACCCGAGAGATGCTTTGATTCCGCGAGCCGGGAGCAGAACTTTGGAGTGTTCGGGCCCCCTATACAGTAGGGTTTCATAGGGTTCACTCGGGCGCTACAGTCCGCTACAGGGGTCTAGCTAGGCTTAGGTTGGGTGCCTTGGACGACTTTCAGCCGGACCTGGTGCTCTACGACGCCGGCGTCGACATCCATGTGGACGATGATCTCGGGAATTTGCTCCTTGCAAAGCACAGGGGGGAGGCTGGGGTCTGAGGGTGGCGGTGAGGCTTACCCTAAGACCCCAAAGTGGTTCCTTTTGGGGGTTCATATATAGAATCCTATGAGGTAATCCCAAAAAGGAACTACTTTGGGGCCTATGTGTATATTGTATCGGCTTATCAGATCCACGAGGTTGGAAGTGCAGAAGTAAAGCTTTGGTTTCAGAGTGGGTGAGGGATTCTGATTGGAGGTGTTTCGAGCAGTGTTTTTTGTACGGTTGATCCTTCTCAGGAGTGACATCGCCTGAACTGAACCCGAAACATCAAGAAAAAGCATGGTGCTGTCGTAAACTGCACTCGAGACAAAGCCCCACCGCCAGACTCGTGGTTGAGGTGCATCTCATGGGACGGCCTTCGGAAGCGCGAGGACAGACGGTGTCAAGCATTGGATTTTCTCTGGTGGGGTCCCGGGGTTTGGAGGTTTCAGATTTCAGATTATGTACGGGTCATCCGAGCCCAAAGGCAGCACTTGAGACAAGCACACTTTCGCAGGACCCTGGAGCAGCACACAGTCTTTACCTGCAAGTTCTGAGGAGAGACACAGCACAAAGTTGTGTGGAGTCCCGTTGATTTTGACGGTTTCAGTCCTGCAGAGCCATATCGTGGGAGTGCCGTTGCGCAGTGCGTTTCTCAAGCCCCGTCCAACCTTCAATCTCTCGGTTCGGGTACCTACAACCTGACACCGAAGCCCAGAGAAGTATTCAGCATTGATTTCAGGACCTGGTGATAAACGCCTGCCTGTCCAAGCGCATTCCGATCGCCTGCGCAGCTCGGTTTCATCTCCAGTTGCATAAAGCAACGCTCTGATGGCTACAGGCGTCGCTAAAGTTTCAAACTGGACAAGAAATTGAATCGTAAAGCAGGATGACTCTACACCCAAACCTTGACCCTCCACCTGCACAACTTCTAGGGCCAGATTAAAATGGGTCGGAGAGTGTAGACTAGAACTGCAGGTCATCGGGGGCGGCTACGATCGAGATCCTCGACATTTGGCCCATCGCTCTTGGACGGCAAAAAATGCACTCAAGCCGGATCGCTGAGCCCTATATGCCAAATCGCTACACCCGGGGGCATGGGAGCTCCTGTTGGGTTCTCTTAGCGGATCAAAGCCGAAGCAAGACTTTTCCGGCGATTCAGCACTGGCCTAACCCATGCTTGCATAAATCAGTCGCGATCGAGAAAACTCCGTCGGAATCGAATGCGAACGCGGGCCGCTCGACAAGTTGCCAGCATCTGTTGCACATGAGAGGCAAGGTTTGTTTGCGTGGAAGTGTCCCCAGCACACCACCATAGCTCCTCAAAATCTTTGCAACATGACCAAAGCCCCGCCGAGACAGAGTTGACCCAGGCAGTGTATTTCGGTCTGTACACCCCAGAAACCATACAACCCAACCGACGAAGCCTACTTACTGAATCGCCCTCACTTGACTGAGGCCATTCAGAAATTCACAGCCGACCCACACCCCGAGCCAAACAAAATCTATGGAAAGCTTCAGCAGGTGTGGATGCATCTTATGCCGTCATAAGCAGTTTAGCGTCTCCTGCTGCGAGTCTATATACTGCATTACTACTGCACTTCAGACTAACAACCCCAGTATCAAACAAACTGGTTGCACGACTGTGCCCATGGTCAACTTGTTCAACTCTTTGCAAAGATCCGGCCGCTACAGCAGCCGACCTGAGGCCATGCGGCAGTTCACCGTGCGGCGCACGACGCATGGCGGACGTTTCGCTTGTGACAGAAAAAGCAGGGTCTTCGCAATCTCTCAGGGTAAGTTTGGCCTTTGACAGATTGCCCCTTTCATCCTTATACTCCTTATAATAAGGAGTAATACTCCTTATAATAAGGAGTATAAGGATGAATGGGGCAATTTGTCAAAATCCAAAGTTCAAGTCGAAGCCACAAGCCTCCTGACTGCAGAACCCTGAGTCCGGTATCCAGAGACCCCCGGAACCCCCTCCAAGCTTCAAACTCCTATGCAAACCTCAAAATTCCTAAAGCTTCCTCAACCCTAAACCCTAAACCTGTGAACCCTGGCTGAGTCCGAGTTGTGAGAGCGTAAACCCCTAAACCCTAAACTCTAAACCGTCCTCAACCCTGCACTTCCTGAACCTTACAACCCCCCCCCCCTTCCAGAGCCAGAGCTTCGCGCAGCGCGGAACCCACTGCCAGGTCGCCATCTCACCAGCCATCAGGCCATCGCCATGGCTTCCGTAGCCTTACAGCTTTGGGGGTTCCTTGGGGTCTGTGCGCGGGATTTGGTGGGCTCCTATAGTCACTATAGTCCATGGCGCTTCTATATTTCTTATAGAGACGAATATTTCTTTAGAGCCGGAGTGTGTCATGAGTCATGTTTCGATTTGTTGGGGCTCGGGAGGATCCGGTTGCTTGTTTGGGTCAGACTCTGACTGAATCCCCAAAGACAGCAGGAGCCCAAGAGGATGATCATAGACAGTCAGCTGAAACCCCGATGGCTTAAACTACCTCAGTTACCACCCTAAACCCTAAACCCTGAACCAACAACATCAATAAGCAACCCACACCGTCGGAAGGTTGTCCGTTCGGCTTCCGGATGGCAGCTTCGTTGTGGGTGATCTCGCGGTGCACTTAAGCCGAGGTGTTCAGTCGAGATTTGAGGGTACCTGGTTTTGAGCTTGAGCCAGAATTGCTCCTTGGGATTTAGGGGAGTGCTGCAGTTGCAGGTTTAAAGGCCGAGAGCTCAGGGTTCAGGCTAAGGGTGGAGGAATTGAAGGTTCCTCTAAGTTCGAAGTCGTGCACAGGCAGTAGAGTAGAAGTGTTATTACATTGGGTATAACCCTATGTGATGGCATGGGAAGCCATGAGCATCCGACTCGTACCGGCAGCTCAGGTCTCTAGCAGTACTGGAGAGCGATAGAAAGTGGTACACTATAACAAATAGTGTCTAAGTCTAAGTACCAATAGAGTAGTTTATATAGGTACATATACGCGCGGAGGAATCTACTACGAAGTTATTTGCATTGAACATGTTAGATCTTGTGGTCCTTCGTAACACCGTCGACATGAAGATAGCAGGTTCCACATCATCGACCCTCCTTTGTGTTGTCAATCGTTGTCCTGTGTGTCTACCAATAATTAGGACCCGCATGGGGACCATGGTTTGGGCTTTATGCGTAAGCTCCGCCATTGCATTCCTGCCTCGGCAGCAAGGCCTTGTAGGCTTTGACATCGATTCTAGAACCAGCACTGCGCTGACCTGTGTGTCCAGTCACAGGAATATTGGAGGTGTCAGGATTTGGGTTTGTAGGCCTGCTGAGGACTCAGTATTTCAAAACGCAATAGCAGGAGCAATGCTTTTCCAGCATGTTGGGTATAATCAACTTGCAACAGATGTGCCTTTGCGGATTGGGGCTTTTGACAGGGCTTGGGGTTTAGATCGAGGTGCGGTTGTTTCGCTCTTACGAAAGTGACAAAGCACGGCAGGCAATGTGTAAGTGGAGTATTTGGCCGCCTTCTGCATGTGCGCCTGTTGACAGGGACCTTTTCTTCCAGGCCTCTGCGGCCCGAAGTGTCCCTGTGGTACAGACGTGAGACTTCAAAAATCCAATGAACCTATCTAGGAAAAGCCGACGTAGAAGGTTGATCGCAAGACACGGAGTCCACAACCCTCAACATAGCCGGCAGACTCACTCGAAAGGACAGCCTTGATTCAAGAGCCGGGAGGTATGAAGCCGAGACCCGTAAACGCCAGAAAGCCTTGCATCTCCGGGTTTCTGCACAGGGCACCAGGGGCCTACAGCCGAAGAGATCCCAAACCCAGTCAGCCCTGAGCCCGACGGCTCTGTACCCTTGTACCCTCTTCACCCAAAGATCGGAGCTCTCGTACCCTCAGAACTAGAACTATAGGAATTCATCATCCTTTCCTGTGTGTGCTTCAAGAGCCATGCTGGAAGCAGCTCTGCAGCCGGCGCCAGCAAGCATCGCGGCGCAGTAGAGAGTCAAAACGATTAACCCATTTCATTACGGCCCAGGTTTGTTTGGTGTGCGTTTGTGCATCTAGCATATGCATGTTGTGTGTAAGCAGTTGTTTACAGGATGAACCGTGTATGTCTGCAGGCAGGCACCAGCACTGTGTTTGCCTAGACTTGTCCACACTTATGCAATCGTGAGCATGACGACAGGCCGACGGACAGTCACAAAACTACACAATTCCATTAGCATGGGTATGTACGCAGCCTGGTTTATATGTTTGCAGGTCCTGTTGTCTTTCAGTACTTCTTAAACAAGCTTAAACTGTTCTCAGCATTGTCGGAGTTTAACCGTGCTCCGAGGAGTGCCGAGCTTTTGATGAGTGACACTGTGAAGTCCCCCTAAACCATCTTCAACCGACTAAAGGTTTAGGGTTTACAGATCTGAGACCCCAGATTCCGAGCTTGCCGACATCCATTATACCTGTATCCCCAAACCCCACAAAATAGTAGGTTATGACCCCTTAATTAGAGGGTCTGACCCTTAAAACGGTAGGTTTTTGGATCCCCAGGAATAGCATTTAGCTTGGCAATCGCACGCCCACCCCCGGCCCATCAGACCACAAGAACCACGTCCAAGGCCCAGGGCCCTACGACGCTTTGCAGCGTACATGGGCGACGCAGCAGCTGCCTGACCTCCTTTGGGTCCTTTCATTTTCCGAGTTCGGTGCTTTTTTGCCTTAGGTTCTGAAGCCCCAATTCCAGAACGACAGACATGGCAAGAATGGTTGGCCAGGGTATGCATGCATATTATAATGTACGTTATATGCATATCTAACACATTGACAGGTTGTGGTTTAGACTGCGCATCTTTGGCATCTTTCTCGGCTTGTACGAGACCAGCCAGAACCTAGCTAAACCCTCACACAAGAAGTCTGTCGAGTCAACTATGCCCCATGAACCCGCAGTCCCAGCTCCATTTATGTATTCAACACGCCGCTGAGATTGCATAGGGATTCTCTGCAACTACGTAAGGGATGAATTCCTCAAGTAAGGGGGCCATGAGCTCTTTGGAAGCAGTAATGATCTTGAACTTCAATCTATCGAGGCTAGAACCATAAAGCCGTAGCTAGACAGCTAGACAACGTGACAACTACTTGATTAGAATTTTAACGCTTCAGCCTTCTACGTTTAGATATCAGAGCTTTGCACCCTGGCCCAGGCGCTGCCGCCCCACCCCGCAGCTGCCCTGGCCACAGCTCCGCAAGGATCTGTCGACGCTCGCGTCTCCTGGCCTTTGCTTTGCGTCGTTGTGCTCATGGCCCATTGGGAGGATGTTGGGCTCAGAGTATCAGTGCATGGGGCAGGTTGGGGCCTATGGCTACTGGCGATAGGTTTCAGGTCCATTGTGTGGAGTCTTTGAGGCTGACTGTTGTTGGTTGGTAGCTGGTTTCTGGCCATTTCTGATGCTCACAGAGGGGTCAGACTCGGCAAGACCTTCAATCCAGTCCCGCAGACCCGACAGGACTCGATTCCCCGCTTTCCGAGACCGGGTTCGTTCCCTACGCTCTCAAATGACAAAGCCATGCAGCACTAGCCTTCAGCGCTTCCGAGGTTGTCTTTGCTTCACTTCGGCCGTGTGGACGCCGGCCTGCATCGCCGGCTCCACGATGCGGGAGAACGTGCTGCCAGGTTACTGAGCAGATGACAACGAAAGCTTCCAAGGTTTTTTTCGAATACTTTGAGGTTGTGATCAAGGTCTGGTGTTTTGGGGTCTGGGGCTTCTCTGTCTGACACTTGTTTTCTGTTTCTTTCTCTCTCCTTTCTCTACCTCCCTCTCTCTGTCGCTTTATCTCTGTCTTTCTTTATCTCTCTCTGTCTCTCTCTCTCTCTCTCTTTATCTCTTTGTCTCTCTCCCATGGCAAGCCCTGCCAGGGTTGGATCCACCGTCGCGGAGGAGAGTGCAAGCAGCTGGGTGGTGAAATATTGGGTGTATAAGGGCATTGAGTTCAAGAACCGTAGAAATCTATCGGCACCCAAGTTACTTCAACTGAGACACACGAATAGACCATCAGAGTAGCATAACCCGCCAATTACAATGTAGACAGGCCATCTCTGCTAGCAGCGATTTTATAAGGTGTGGATACCCATGCCTGAAAACGCTTCGTGAATGTAACAGTCTGTCAACCCAGGATATGCATCCATTCGTGAATGCAACCTCGGCCTGCATCTCGTCTTGGACTGCCATGATGGCACACTTGTGGGAATGCATTTGTGGTGCTGTTAAGATATGGAAGTTTACAATACCCAGAGCACTCAGCATATCTGCTGTGATGTATGCTAGTGCCTGCAACAGTCAGACTGGAAGAGGCCAAGTCTAAGAGCATCCTACACGGCCTGCTTCGTGGTCAAAGTGTCCGTGTGGCTACTGCTTGGCTTCGAAGGGTTCAAGCCTTCCAGCCCGTCCTCCAATCAATCGAACTTTAACTACCCCATGTCAAGGACATGCCTCTTGATCGTCGACGTTTTCTTGCTGGCAGATGCCGCACCAGACATATGGCAGCAGCAGCTTTCTTGAAAGAGCACATAGCCTCCTTGTTTTTGTTTTGGACTTGTCCCAAGTGGGCTGGACATGTAAGTTCCTGTAGTGATCTGAACTTGAACCCAATAGTTCTGATAACAAAAGGCCAACGCCACCAGATCCCGAAAGGCTAGACCTGGTATTTCAGGCTGTGATTTGATAGGATCGGCTCTCGCACCGCTGAGGCCTTCAACTGCTGCTAGCATATGGCTGGGGCCCGAAGTGCAACAAAACACAAAGTAGACTTTGCGGCTTTAGGCTTCGACACCGAAGCGGGAATGCAGCAGTGGGGCTTTGCCTGACAATTCTCTTGCCCTAGTTAAGTTTTGAAACGCGAGAGATCCCAGGTATGCCACAGAACGCGCCTGCGCTGCCTTCCGCTTCCCCTGGCGAGAGATGGTGCCATGACCAAAAACCTCTGAGGTTGTTATTGCCAAGGGGAGTCTTCGTAAAGCCTTGTCTACCTCGTGTGAGTGTGGCCTGCAGCACGCTGTTCGGCTGAGTCACCGTGACAAATCACGTAGTCAGCTCTGTTGTTTCTTCCATTTTAAAGTTGCGTTTGGTATGACAAAGCCTGCAAAGCCGCCAACAATAGAAACGTATACAGCCAGGTAGTTCTCCATCCAACCCCCAAAAAAAGGCTGTAATTACCTACGTAGACTGGGTACCGGCAGAAACGGTCAATTTCATCAGCAAGATCCTTGGTTCTTACTAAGGAATTGGGGACTGGCTTATGGGGCTCTTCCCTTTTTTTCGGGACTCTCCTGGGGATCCATTTCCCCCATTTCCTTCTAAGATCGGCTGTGAGGTGCTGGGCACCGGCTGGAAGCTTTTTGCCCTCCTCGCCGGGGTTCAGCTGAGTGGAAGGTCAAGGCAAAGTTGTCAAAGTAAAAAAGCACGGCCTGCAGTTTGATATGCGGTTTCTTCATAATTGGCTATACTATGTGGGGGTTCCTGTCTATTTAATAGTATAGAGGATTAGGGTTCGGGGGGCTTCGTGTTTGCAAGCTCTCGCCGGCTCCAGAACAGATTCCGGAAACATGAGCAACAAACGAAACACCGAACCAGTCCTGTCACTGCCGTTGCACCTCAGGCCCTTGGAACTTCTGAAGCCTGATACAGACAGACATTGACAAGACAAGTGTCTTGTAAAGTTCGCATGTCGTAGTAGCTCCAAAACGAGGGCACCCGGGCAACTGTTGACCCCAAGCTTTGCTACACTCCTTTCGTTCCACTCCCAGCATCTCAGCATCACAAGCACAATGAAAGGCACAGCACGTCTTGTCACACGTAGGCCGTATGTTTGTCCTGAAGCTCTAAATGTGTCCCGAAGCCCGAAGCTCTTACAATCCTGCTCTTGCTTATGTCTAAGCAGGTACTACAATAAAGGTTCTACCACACTTATTGTGTTCACGAGCGCAACGTAAACTACGGTAGGAGTTGCATCGAATTTAGTCCTTTCAATTGAGAGGAAACCTCATAAATCCCTGACTGCCCCCTCGCTCCTGACAAACGTGTAAACCTTATGAAACCTCTTAGTAAACTGGGTGCACATTGCAGATCCGCTCTAGCTAGCGAGCTCAGTGCATATGTTTCGCTCCGTCGTTCACCGACCGACACGTGTGGTTGCTTTGGCATCTCGTGAATAGTACATGTGGGGGTTTCCGTAAACAAGGGGTACCTTGTTTGGGGTCCTTGTACTATATTAGGTTCCCATAAGCATGTTCGGAAACTCCCACAAGTGGCCTTTCGGGCCGTCATCTTGTTGTTTTCTTCTTCAGCTCGTCCATCAGCGCGGGAGGGTGGGCAGAACAGCCAAAGCCCTAGAGAGCCCTTCGGGAGGGTGGGATCCTCTGTCCCCATGCCCGCGGATGTGGCCGAGCTGATCGCTCCAGCACCTTCGGACTGTTCAGAAGGATCCCCCTGAGACTCCAGAACCCAAAGTAGGTAATGTAGGGGCTTAAATAACTACCTATTGTAGAAACTAATTCTAGTATGCCCCAAAACCCTACTCTAAATATTAAGGCCGCCTATGTTGAGGTGCATGCTTTGGAGTCTTCGAGGTTTGAAAGGTCCAGGTGATTTGCTTTCAGTTCTTGGGGATTCACAGTAATTTCACGGTCAAAAGGCTTAAACATAGAGTTTGAGCAGCATGGGTACTTGGTACCCCATGCACATCCTGCATACTAATTTACCGAGATCCTTCAAGCAGGGTGTGGGATTTGATGTGGCGGGTGTTTCTCGGTTGGGGGGATGCTCTTTAGGGTTTAGGGTTTGGGGTTCCTGTGTATGCCGTGCTCTCCGTGCTTAGGAGCGATGCCGTTGTCGGCTGACCCTAGCACTAGGAGAAATCCGAGCCCTTGTTAAGGCCGACTTACATCCGCAACCGAGGATATGGAAAAAAAGCCCTTCAGAATTCGTTGGGTCTCGACCTTAAAGAGGAACTGAAACGGGCTGTCGGAAGCCGATCCGAGGATGACTCGGGCGACTCCGTTGCAAAGCGTGCCGACGAGGCACTCCGCTGGTGTGAAGCTTGATGGTCTAGGGTTCTGGGGCATGGAGAGGCTGCGGCACAGGGTCTAGCGCTTTCCTTCCTTCAGCTGCAAGCGGAGATGCATTTTTCCCAGAAGCTACCCGAAAACCCTGACATGGTGCCATGATAGGCTTCTGCCCCGTCAGCCCGCTGGGCTATGTTATTTTCCGGAGTCGCGAACCATGTAGTTCTAGTTGGGTACTGGTTTCCGCCTGTGTTTGATGAAATACCCACAGCCTTAGACTCGTGAGGTTTAGACCTCCACCACAAACCTGGCAACCGTTGAGCTCTGCGCGGATTGACGATCCGAGGCCCTCAGGTGGGCCGTCACGCGGCTGGCAGCTGCGACGGCAGGCATGAGAGAGAGAGAGAGAGAGAGAGAGAGAGAGAGAGAGAGAGAGAGAGAGAGAGCGCGTTTGGCCTTTTGGGGTTATGTGTTTAGTCTGTGGGTTGGTTGGTCTCGCGGTCCGCTGTGCCGCGCCTTGTTTGGCCAAGTAATGCCCTATAATGATAATGGTTAATTAGTTTTGAACCCCCGAAACTCTGAATCCCTGGACCCTACACCTTCACACCCCCTTCACAAGCCTCTGAGCCCAATCCGTCTAGAAAACCTTTATACTCCCTTAAAAAGCCCAAAGCCTTTAACGCCGGAGGTAGCGCCTCCGGGGAGGTGGAGCCTCTCCTCAACACGGCTCGAAAGGTCCAGCAGAAGCTGCTGAAAGAGTGCCTCGCCCCAGCTTGTTCTGATGCGATTTTGGGGGTTTAGGGTTGCATGTTTTCTGAGGTGGTAGGTAGACATAATGTACACCTACATAGTTTATTGTCGTTGGCCATTGGGTTGTTTTTGCTGATGGTGAAAAATCTCGGTATTTTGTCATTTAGAATGACGACTACAAGTTCAGTCGTACCAGCAGCAGCAGCAGCAGCAGGAGCAGGATGTCTAGCGGTCGCTGGTGTCCCCGTCGTCGCAACACAGCTTGACATAGCTCACTGGCATTGGACGACAAAGTCCTCGAGCATGGTGCAAACTCATTGCAACACATGTGTGTCAATTATGTGGCTTCGGGTCGTGATATGAAGAGGACTGGAGTTTCTTCATCTTGTACAACTGTTTGCGTCAGACCTTACAGGCACATGTTGTCGAACCTGCATCGGTTAAGAGCTGAACTGAAAGTCAACTTCAGGACAAGATATTAAGGTCGATTCCATGGGCATGTGGTATCTACAAGCGCTTACATACAGTAGTTCGTTAGACAGACAGACGGCCAACAGCTGCAAGCGAAATCATCTCCAGCCCAAACATAGCCCCCGGAAGACCCAATCCCAAGTTGTAGTAGCATCCTCGGATCCTTGATGACATCAGCCAACCCAGTTTCTTGGGGAACCGCTAGATTTTCCGAGTTGACACCCTGCGAGACCTCGGCCTTAGCCCGTAACCATTTTTCACTTTCGCTCAGCTTTGGCGACGACGCCACGCCCCTCTGCTCTCGCAGCGTGATTGGTCCATGGCCGTTTCCGGCTGAGAAATGGGGTGGGATGCAGGTTGCGGGACTCACTGCTTCGACCCGCAATGCAATATAAACCACGTATTTCAGCCGCATTAATATTACAGCTCAGCCAATTACGTGAGCCAGTGGCGGATTGCTGAAACTTTGTTTCTGTTGTTCCTGCGGTTGCTATCTTGACCTTATGCAGAAACTGAGAAGATTGCTGTAGTTGCACCATGATCAGCAATCCCCATCTCTATACAGGAACAATTGCAGAAGAGACACTAGCATTAATTATGTTCCTTTAAACAGGAGGGCTTCCACATGCCGTAGAAGGTTGTGGATTCGGTGCTTAGGGATTGCATTGTCCAAGATCCCCCAACGGATGGGGCACCCTTGGCCCGTGGACCCTAAACCCTAAATACGCAACGCTCTCTTGTTGAAGTTCCGTGATGGAAATACTATTCTATCTCTAACCCTATTTTCCCTATAGGTCCTATATACCTACAGCTTGCAGAGGTACCTCTCATCCAGCTGTATAGAAGGCATTGGACCTATGTGCTGCTAGCGATGCCTTGCATGCTCTGCCCATCTGGCTCAACTCAACATCTGAGGTTGATGTGATAATGCCTGCAGCTCGAGTTAACAAAGACCTTGGTAAGCGCAAGTCCCGAAGCACATCAACCTGAGAGAAATGAACTCCCTGACCTAAGGCTTCAATAGCAAAGTTGTACAAACGACAAAAGACTTCCGGAACGGTTTCGGGTTTGAAGTTAATGTTGAACAGGTGTGTAGGAAAAACCAGACAATATTTGCATGAAGAGGTCTGCGGTGGTCTGCCCAGAAGCAACCTGAGCCCGAAGCTACATCGGATAAGATTGGGCCTCACTCGCACCTGAAAATGCCATAGCGCATACCTAGACCCCCAAAAGTAGGTAAAATAATGGTCCCAAAACCTATAAAAGGCTATAATTCTACATACATTTGGGGTCCAGAGTCCAGGTAATTACTTTCTTGTAGGGTCCTCGTGAATGTCGGAGATCAGCCAGATCGGCCGGCTTTGTGCAAACGAGCATTGTAATTTCCTGGTGACCTTCGAAGAAAGCGGTGGCTTCTGCTGCAAGCGCTGCTACACGAACCATGTCAGGCCGGGTTTCAGGTTTTTGTGTTGTGACGGAAGTCTTGCAGTAATAATAATCGGGCGACGCATGTTCCCCTGAAGGATCCTACTCTCTACGGTTTGCTGATTGCTTTGTTTTCTCTATCTCTCTCTGTATTTGTGTGTGTGTGTGTGTCCTTCTCAGCCTGCCGAACCGGCATGCAGTATTTCTGAAGTCCCCTGATCATAGATCGACCCTATAAACGCTAAACCCCTTAAGTGCCGGAGCCCTCATCGCTAAACTCATCCTCGAGACCTCTGCACAGCCTTTGAACATCGCACAAGAAAGTCCCGAAGCCCAATGCCTAGACTGCTCACTGTCTAGATCCTCAAACCCTACATACAGTCCCAAGCCACAACAACTTCAAGCCCCGGCAAGAGATGCCAACGCCACATCCTGGCATTTCAGGCTACCCGCTTTGTTGCGCTTAGGATGACTAATCTGTGAGAGAGGTGCACCAAGTTCTGTGCGATACAGTGGAGGGGTTTAGAGTCGTGCGGTTAATGACTTCATGTCTCTTCCGCTCACTCGCTTCAATCTTCTACGACGACTTAACCCTACGTAGTCGAGATCCTTCAAATTGAGGGTTTCGGAACGAGTGTGCAAGATACAGTCCTATGTGGTGGAAGATACCATATTTGCCACTTGGCTCGTACTACAGGGGGTAAGCAACAGACACCGGAATAGTAGCCGCTATTCCTCCTGAAGGGGCCTTGGTGTTACAACTACATCTACTCAACTAAGACAGAACCCCAAAGCCCTGTTCTAACTAGACCTGCAGAGGATTGGGGTGCTTGATGTCTCGGGTTCGTGGGGGGTTAGACGCACTCGGGGTAAGACTGAAAATGCCTAGCGGAAATCTGTTTCAGTATGGTAGTGAAGTTAACTTTAGCAGCAACATGAATCTTCAGGTTTACAACAGAGCAGTATATAGTAGCCGCCAGCATCTATGACATCAGTGGGTTCTACTGGTATGATTGACCCTCCAAAACAAGATCACACCTAAATGCCTTTGCCGGGACGAGGTTCGAGCTTCGGTGTGTTTGTGAACGAGGCCACGGTGAGAAGTGTGCCAAGCAGGAGCCGAGACTCAGAGTCTCCTTAAAGGCGTGACAGTGAAGGAGGTTCGGAAACCAAAGCCCCAAACCCCTAAACCCCGAACCCGAAACCCCGAAACCCTAAACCAGTCGGTTTCGGGTTTGGGGAGGACAAAGGGGATCGGAGGGCGGAGCGAAAGGCTACTTGTACCAGAGTGAGGTTTAGGCTCAGGATTTTTCAGGGCTTAGGCTTTGGGCCTGCGAGTTTCGGGATTACTTAGTCTCCATTGTAGTTCCCTTTTTTTGGTTAACCAAAATCTCCACTATAGGATCCTAACCATAAACCTGGTTAACACAAAAAAGGAACCACAACGGAGACATCGGAGACTTGTAGGTAGGACTGTAGCCAGCAGACACAACAGCTTCTGATGTGGCACGCACCCTGACACTCCAAGACCCTGAACACTCCAAGCCTCTGAACCCTAGTTGGGTACCTGGTTTTAAGCAAATGATACGTGCAATTGTCGCAACACCCAATTTAGGTCTGCAATGACAACTCCAAACAACCTACTTACTAAGTCCCTTGATCCTTCAAGTCTGCGAGCCCACTCAAAGAATCCGACATTTTGTTTCACTCAACGGCCTTGCCACCCCCAAGCCCTTGGGTTTGGGGTGTAGGGGTTGAAGGTTTGGGGTTCCGCCTTCCTGAAAATCCTTCCAGGTTAGAGTCTAAGCCCTCCCCTGCGCGAAATGAGAATTCTTAGACCATAAAGGACACGCTCCCTACTCCGCAGACCCTTATAAGGCAACGAGTTCAGCACCGCAGCGACCTTCGTTTTCACAAGAATGCACAATGGTCGCAGGCAGGCGGCGCACGGAGGTCTCAGCAATTGGCTGCTGGCCTCGTGCACCCCACCTGATAGACGTCTTCAAAGCTCGGGAAGAACTGGGTGGCGTGGGTGGGGAAAGCACCGCACCTGCGGAAACGGTCGCAGCTGTGCCATTATGTGCACACGTGCACTACAAGCCATAGATACGATTCCCGTGAAGCCCTCTACAGCCCTGACGGAAGCAAGCCCTGAACCCTGAACCCACCTAAGCCCCAGACAAGCCCTACCGAAAACCCATGAAAGCCCTTCCCGACTCGAGGAGGCACGAACAGCGGATACCCCGAGAGCAGATGCGGTGAGACCGAAGGATCCGCTTCCTGCAGAGGCCCATGCCTATGCTTCAGAGTTACATATATATATATATATATACATGTATTCATACACACGCATATATATATATATATATATATATACACAAACACACCCCTTACAGTCATTGTCCCTGATTTTCTGAATCTGTCAAAAAGGGGTCTGGATTGTAGGAGGCTCCAGAGAACTGTGCTCGACAAGACTCGAGAACTTGAACCAGGGAACCTCAGATTAGGGATTCAGGGTTTGGCGAATTTAGGATCTCAGGGTTTAGGGTTTAGGGAGGGGGCTCTTGCTGTAACCGGGCTGCTGGACAACGAGGCCTGCTGCAAAAAAGGGAGGGTTTAGGGTTTAGGGTGCGATGCAAGGATCTGGCTAGTCCCCAAGCCCAGTTGCAAAAAGGGTTTAGGGCCTTAGGGAGGGTCTTTCTGAGCAGAGTTGAAAAAAAACACAACGCAGGTAGGATGTGAGGTCCTCCTTCTGTAAACGCTACCCAGCCTTCGGGAAACAGGCCCGAACAGAAACCCTACCCTACGCCCAAGAGGCTCTGCAGTCGATTTTTCTGGCGTGTGGGTTCAAAGGTTGAATGTAGGGGAATGATTAGTTAATTACTATTACTATTCCTCAAATTTCCTTACTGTACTATTCTGGAAAATTTGCAAAGCTTATATAAACCATTCTTAAGTGTACGCCAAATCATGTTTTTCATTATTGAGGCCCGTAGACTATCCATTATACCTTACTAATATACAGGATGTCCAGTCTTTTCAACCCTAACTTCAGGTATAGGCTACCCCTAAACCCTCAAACTCCGGAGGTGCAAGTTCTGGATTGTGGGTGCCGGTGTCCTTAGCCCTAAGCCCTAGACATACCTAAACCCCCATAAGCTGGCAATCATCAGATGAGTGAACTCTCGGTCTCTCTGAACAGCCCAGCTATGAGGGCTGGCCCCTGCAACCTACGAGGCAAAAAGAATCCTACCTACAGTCTCCATTGTAGTTCCCTTTTTTGGTTAACCAATCTTATGGTTTGGATCCTATAATAGAGAGTTTGGTTGACCCAAAAAACAACAATGGAGACTATAGGTAAGCTTCAAACTCGACCCAGGCTCCCAAACTCCAACAAGCTACCCTGCTATGCGGGCGAGCGCCCTTGCGAAGTAGGCGGCGAAACATCCAGCAAACCACATATTCCCTAGGCCCTAGGCACCCTAAACCCTACAACCATAATGATCATGCGATCCGGAACAGGGAGGGTAACAAAAAACGCAAAAACTCAAAACTCAACAAACTAAACCCTAAACTGTAAATACACTAAGCCTAAACCCGAATTCCATGGGCGGATGGAAAAGAGGCCCTTACAAAAAAAAGAAAACGAACCTTCGGGTTCAAAATTATAGGGTTAGGTAGGGTTTGGGATTTAGGAACTTAGGGTTCACCTGGGACGCGTGGCGGTCGAGCTTTTGGGAACTGATGTAGCATTCGGGTACGGCTTTGTTTTTCGCTGTGTGCTGAGCCTCCGCAGGCCACAAGCAAAGCTGCCATGAAACTTCAGAGCTACGCGCAGCTCAAAGACTTGCGGTGCAGCAAATGCAAAGCTGCAAAACCCAGACCAGCCACTCTGCTGAG